AAAACGGCCTATCAAATATTTAATACAGCAATAACCTGTGCTTAGACGCACTATAGTCAGAAAGTACACGTTCGTTGTCAGAGACCTGCCCAACGCCGCCGGTATAACCTCACGAGCATTATTTACCCTTACATATTCTAAACATATCAAAACTCTTTGGTCATTCGTTAAACGAGGCGTATTTATAAAAAAAAACACTTGACGTTTCTTTCTTGGAACATTAGAATTTGATTCCCCAGGGTCATTGGATATTTAGAATAAATCTTTTAATCAAAATCGCTTCGGCATAAATTAATTTTCATGCATTCCCAAAGACCTTAAGCAAAAATAAAAGAGCACCTCCATCCTATAAACATTTTTAATTTAAACTTCACTTCATTGAAACGAATATTTACGATAAAATGGTAATGGTTATCAATTAAATTAGTTTAACAGGCCGTTTTTAGCTAATTCTCGACACTTCCCAAAATGTTTAATCAAGTTTAAACGCAGCTCTCTCGGTGAATATTGTACGAAATTGCACAGGCGTATATCAAAATTTAAGTTAGACAACACTGAATGCAATGCACGTAGTTTAGGTGTAATAGCTCTTTTAGTTTTTAAGTTAAAATAAATCAAACAGGTTAACTTTTTTCTGCGCCACCTGGTATATATCAAAACCAGGTTAAAATTGTTAATAAATAGTTAATTTATAATTAAAATATATTACTAATTGCTGCAGCACACTATTCTTGACATGAAGTATTGCGTGCCTGTGTTTACTTGTGTCCAGTCTCTTTGGCCGAGTTATGTACAGTCGATCGAGATTTCGATTTGTGTCTTCAGTGTGTGTGTGTGTATGTTAATGTATGTAAAGATGTTTCAATTCCGGGGAAATAATTAAGGCTTCAGGAAGTTTTTTTAAACGAGGGGGCGGTCAAAATTCATTTTGTATTGCGCTCGCATGATACATTTTACACATATGTTGGATTTTCACAAATCGACAATATTTTGAATAATTCAGGTAAGGATAGCTTTATTTCTTTCTGGTGATATTACATGAAGGCATTTATATTTAGATCTGCTGTTAAAAGTGTTCGATATGAGGTATTTGAAACAATATCAATATGATTTTGCCACTTTATCAGCAGATCGTCTTTATATTTTATATACAAGGAGTCAAAATGTACTTGTTTGTGCCAATTGTGTGGCGATGTGCCAAGGCAATGAGTTTATAGTGTTCATTCTATGTGTTAATAGACATAGTAATGTGCTTTCAGCACAATTTCAGGGTTCGAATTAATTCTGAAAAAATGGTTCGTGAATTAATTTTTTATTTTAAGTTAATTTTAAGGCATTTTCAAGGAATTTTCACTAATTGGAAGTTAAAAGTTGAAGCACTGCAATTTTCAAATATATGCATCTCAAACTCGCAAAAGAAATAGAATTTTGGGTGGAATTATAATCGTTTTCAAGTACAATCTAACAACAATATCTTCAAAATATATGATCCTTCATCATATTTACAAAGAACTGAATTTATTACTGTATATTTTTATCAATTTGAAAGACTTTTGATTCGTGATTTTGATCAATTTTTATGAAATTGGTTTCGCGAAAAATGAAAATTGATTTGTGATTCACGAATCACGAACCGTTATTTCGAACCCTGAATTTAAAAACAAACACGGAATGTTGTGTATCAGTGTATGCTTTATAATTTAAAGATATTCCTATAGCAAGTTAGCAACCCATGCAGTTTACCCAGTGTCTCTGCGATATGTCCTTTGTTAGCATAATATGAAATAATCCTACCGGCCTACATTCATATATTCACGAATAATTCACCTGGCTGTGTGCCTGTGTCAACTGCATTTCAGGGTATACTATATTTTTCGATAATGCTCACAATTTCTTTCTTATTATATAGTTTTGCAGTTATGACTGAGTACAATCTTAGTCATTACAAATTAATGGTGTCATCTGAAGCAGACGTATTAAACAAAAATGTCAACAAATAGATTTTGTCTCCTCATCAGCAGATTGTTCAGTTGTTCTGTGAACATAGCCTTCAAGGTGCCATATGAAATTGTTATTAAATTCTACATGTCCAATGATTCATTCAAGTATTATTATTGTTTATATATATGATATTGCACAGTATTCAGTGGCAAGCTAGCCATGGCAACTGGTCATGCTATGCTAATAAACTGCCTACAATGCAAATCATTAACTACAGTACTTGCATAGCATGACCTGTTGCTATAATGGTAGCTTCACCATAGCATTATTAAGTTATAGCAAGAATTAAGTTATAAAATTAAGTTATAAGAATTGAAGGTATTCATATAAAATCACCCATGCCAAGAAAGTAGAATTAGAATATTTAGCTGACCTTCGACATTGTGTAAACTTTTCCTACATTCTGAACAGGCATCTTAGGGGCTGTTTACATGATGGAAAGTGGGATGATTTTGATGTATTTCAATCTCTAGGTTAAATGAAAGTTCAAATGCTTGTTCATTTAAACTAACAGAACTCAAATGTTGTCAGTTGTAGAGGTCCCATGACTTATTTCAATACATCGAAATCGTCCCACCTCATATCTCGTCCTGGCAAAGCTGGATCATATAAACAGCCAAGGATTCAGCAAATTGTGCATGCTGCCTTTGATCCCTTGGGGATGAGGCAGCACTTTCCTTGCGATAGTAACTTCTAGTTTTATACTGCCTGTTGTTCATTGCCTGGGCCAGGGGGCCAGACTGAAAAGTTTGGAAGCGCCAGAGATTTCGAAAATTTAATAGTAAATATATAGAAAGCCTAAAAAATGTGTGCGGAACATCGCCCGCATGCGGTGCAGAAAATGCAGTCTGGGCAGGGGGCACAGGGACGGGAGTTTGACGTACTTTGACTTTGTTAGGTCGCCCCATATTGGGGAAATTGACAGAAATTTCTAGCAAAATGTCAAATCCCGTAGGTAAGCCCGATACCCTCCCCCTCCCTGGGGCAAACTACTGACTGGTGCATAACAGAATATTAAGGCTTCACTCGTCAGTAGCCTATAAAACGCCTGGCATTGCTTTTAGGAAGTGGTTTAATTTCAACGGACACCATATCTCAATTTGTAAATGGTATTAGTTTTATATTAGATATGATATAATACCTGAGCCATCATTTTTGCCCTTGGCTTCATCCAGTTCTACTCCAATCCATTTTCCCGATGCAAACATGGTCGAGCCAACATATTTGACTGTTCCTGTAAGGCTCTTTCCTGTCACTTGTACACGATCTCCTGCCTTCGCTAGTTGAGTTGACATTGTTAGAAATGCACACAAAAACGCTCGATTGTTTTACCTAAATATTATATTCAACATGAAGACGAAAGCTAAAAGTCAAAATTTTGCTTTTTCAAAACAAATATGGCGTCCAAAATATTAAGGGGCGGGGCGTAGGGAGAGTACAGCAAACCCAAGCAGTTTTGCAGTTGTAATTTGGGCAACCGTAGGCATGTCCCGATTGTACATGTGCACAGCAACTTTGAGCACTTTTTTCGGTTCGAGCAACTTCAAGCAACTTTTTCCTATTTGAGCATTTTTGAGCAACTTTCTACTAGAGTTCAAACTTTACAGTATGAAATGTTTACATGGGAGGTGTGGTAGACAACTTCATTTTCTCGAGCAAACACCCTTGGTACGAGGTTGCTTCATTTCCTGTGATATTTTTCTGATAAAATAATTTGGAAAATCAATAGACCTTTCCCCTTTCAAGTGAAATTTTGATCTAAACAAGTCTGGACAAAAATTTCATCACAGCTTGAAAGAGCAACACAAAATTAGTCATATTCCGAAGTTTCGTTGGCAAATGTTGTAAAATGCGGATAATATAGCCTTGCGAAGTTTGCCGTTTTTCAGTCATTTTGCATTTATACAAACCGGAAATTGATAATCAGATGATCAAACTGATTATCAATTTCCAATTTGTAATACAAAATGACTGAAAAACGGCAAACTTCGCAAGGCTATATTATCCGCATTTTACAACATTTCCGGCAACGAAACTTCGGAATATTACTAATTTTGTGATGCTCTTTCAAGCTGTGATGATTTTGTCCAGACTTGTCTAGATCAAAATTTCACTCATAAGGGGAAAAGTCCATTAAGTATGGCAATATGCTGTAATGCTGCTTATTTGCCTTGATATTTACTGGCTTGCTAGGGTTTATAATATCTGTGTTCTCCTCAAAACAAAACGGCGCGGCTTATAAATGGAGGGGTGAATAGGTTTTCGGATCGTCGGATATCACAGAAAAAATTGTTCGGATTTCGGATCTGGTGAATATTTTACACGGATTTGCGGATCTTATTAATACAGCGGATTGCGGATTTATCCAATATTTTGGCTTGGATTGTGGATTTAGCTTGCAATTTAGTTCGGATCCTGGATTGCAACTTCATAGTAGAGCTTTTTGCGGATTCATATTTAGACAAGACCGTTGTCGGATCGCGGATTTTGCTTCAAATTTGGACGGATCGGCGGATTTGTATACCCCTATTTCCCTCCCCATAAATGCTAATTTTTATTATGACTGAACTAGAAGTGCTGTCAGTCGCGGGATCTCCAACTACGCGTTATTAATAATAAATTAATTTTGCCCTGAGTTAATTTCGTTTTGCGGTTAGTTAACTTTATTTTCCCGTGAGTTTATTTTGTTTTGCCGTTGCAGTTAAATGTATTTACTTGTGGGCCACATTATTTTATGCCGCCTGGGGACGAGGCAGCTCGACAATTACCCAAACTGCTTCCAAGCTTGGTGGGATTAACCGATCACTTCATTTAGCCAATCAGATTACGAGCTTTTTCGGATCGTAATGTGACGGATGTTTAAAAATGATGTTTAAAAAAATCAATTCTGAGATGCATTGGGAAAAATTTAAAACCATTAGAAATAAAATTAATGCTGAAATTAAAAATCTTAAAGCTAACTATTTCAATACTAAAATATCTGAGTGTCTTCAGCATAAGAACGTAAAAAAAAGTTGGTCGATCCTTGATTAATAACCTACTTGGGAAAAATTCAAAATCAACCATTATCAATGAAATTAGGACTTATAGTAATGTAATTCTTACAGATAGACACCTGATTGCAAACAAATTAAATCATTATTTTGTTAATATTGGTCCCTCGCTTGCACTCGGGGTGGAAGAAAATCATCATACCTCTGCTGGTGTGACAAATCGTGGTGATTTAGAATGAAACACAACTTTTTGTTTTCTGATATAAGTGTTCATCAAGTTTTAAACAACTTAAAACAACTAGTAACATCCAAAGCTACTGGCGTAGACAAAATTCCAGCTAAAGTTCTTAAATTATCTGCAGATATAATTGCACCATCTCTGACAACAATCTTTAACCAATCACTACATACTGGCATATTTGTCAATGACTGGAAATTAGCACGTGTGCAACCGATTTATAAATCTGAGGATAGAAGCAAATGTGAGAATTACCGTCCAATTTCTATTCTCCCAGTTGTAAGTAAAATCTTTGAAAAAGAAATTTTTCAGCAATTATATAGTTATTTATCTGCAAACTCACTAATTTCAAAGTTTCAATCTGGATTTCGACCTAAACATTCATCCCTAACCTTACTTCTCCAGATGTGCGATGAATGGCTAAAAAATATGGATGAGGGTAAAATAACTGGTCTTGTTTCTCTGGATATCAAGAAAGCATTTGATTCAATTAACCATCAAATTTTAATGTCAAAAATGAAAGACCAGTTTGGTATTCGTGAAAATGAATTGAATTGGTTTACCTCTTACTTGACAGATCGTCAGCAAGTTTGCTGTGTAAATGACCATATATCCTCTTGGAAATCCATAGAAAATGGTGTGCCGCAGGGGTCCATTCTCGGTCCTTTGATGTTTTTATTATATATTAATTAACGATTTGCCGCAATATTTAAAATTTACAACTCCGGGTTTATATGCTGATGATATGCAGATATTTGCCTCGTCTGATAATTATGATGAACTGATGGAACTATTAAACTCTGATTTGAAAAATATTAGTATACGTAGATGGCTCTGAGGCTCTCGGATAACAAACTGCAACACCATACTACTAAAACTAAGCTATTGTTCATAGGCTCCCAGTACAATATCAAAAATAAAATTGGAGATAAATTAGTGACCTTTAAGAATAAACCATTAAAACGGTACAGATCTTTTAAATGTTTAGGAGTTGAGTTGAATGAACACCTTAGTTGGGAAGTTCACATGATGCAATCTGTAAAAAGGTTGGTGCAGGGATAGGAGTTTTAAAACGAACAAAACCATTCGTCCCCAATGAAACCCTACACATCATCTATAAGGCGTTAATTCTGCCATACTTTGATTATTGCTCCCCTTTGTGCATAGGCGTACGGGACAGGGGGGGGGGGCAGCTGCCCCCCCCAATAAGATTACAAAGTCGAAAAGTCGGGCAAATATTCAACAAAAGTCGGGCAAAAGTCGGGCAAAAAGTAGTCAAAACAAGAAAATCTCTCTTAATAATAAAGCAGGTTTGTTGGGCAAACAAAGCCAATCTTGTTTTTAATTGTTATTCCATTTGTAAATACACATTATGTTCTGGGTAATATTCTTTTTGGGTCTGTGGGTTAATTAGTTTTTTTCTTCATTTTTATATACTTGTAAATAGCTAAATAGACGCCCCTCATGAAAACCAGCCGTATAGCTGATGAGGATAGCGTCTCTAAAGAAATTAAATACATACATACATACCAGAAAGTAGACGGGTACCTACAAAATGGCGAAATAGCTGGTATCCTGGCGTGAAACTTTAGAACTAAAAATAGTTTAATTTAGGTTTTTAATCTTGTTTCTAAATTTGATATGACATAAAAAGTAGTAAAGATACATTTTTAGATTTTCTAATAAGTCAGATAAAAAGCACAAAACACACTGCTAACTTTGTTTAGTCGCAATTCAATTGATCGGTAAATTAGAAGATTTGTTTTATATCGAATGGTAAATTAGAAATAAATTTTTTAAAAAGAAAAGTGCCTCATCAGTCCATACTTCCCGACTCTGCTAGCCCGTATCGGTCAAGTCCGTCTCGTGCTAGCCGCTAGAACGCCGTATGTTAACGTTTTTAAAAGTTAGATTTCGGCTAAACTCAACGCTATCGTCAGAGGCGGGTGAATAGGTGGCTTTATACCAACCGATATCGAACGAACGACGGGGGAGAGTGCCGGCGGCCCCCAGACCATTATGCCTGGCTAAATATCAATGCAAATAAGCAGCATTACAGCATATTGCCATACTTAATAGACCTTTCCCCTTATGAGTGAAATTTTGATCTAGACAAGTCTGGACAAAATCATCACAGCTTGAAAGAGCATCACAAAATTAGTAATATTCCGAAGTTTCGTTGCGAAATGTTGTAAAATGCGGATAATATAGCCTTGCGAAGTTTGCCGTTTTTCAGTCATTTTGTATTACAAATTGGAAATTGATAATCAGTTTGATCATCTGATTATCAATTTCCCGTTTGTATAAATGCAAAATGACTGAAAAACGGCAAACTTCGCAAGGCTATATTATCCGCATTTTACAACATTTGCCAACGAAACTTCGGAATATTACTAATTTTGTGATGCTCTTTCAAGCTGTGATGAAATTTTTGTCCAGACTTGTTTAGATCAAAATTTCACTTGAAAGGGGAAAGGTCTATTGATTTTCCAAATTATTTTATCAGAAAAATATCACAGGAAATGAAGCAACCTCGTACCAAGGGTGTTTGCTCGAGAAAATTAAGTTGTCTATCACACCTCCCATGTAAACATTTCATACTGTAAAGTTTGAACTCTAGTAGAAAGTTGCTCAAAAATGCTCAAAAATGCTCAAAAAGGAAAAAGTTGCTTGAAGTTGCTTGAAGTTGCTCGAACCGAAAAAGTGCTCAAACAACCTGTGCACAATCGGGACGTGCCTACAGTTGCCCAAATTACAACTGCAAAACTGCTTGGGTTTGCTGTACTCTCCCTACGCCCCGCCCCTTAATATTTTGGACGCCATATTTGTTTTGAAAAAGCAAAATTTTGACTTTTAGCTTTCGTCTTCATGTTGAATATAATGTTTAGGTAAAACAATCAAGCGTTTTTGTGTGCATTTCTAACAATGTCAACTCAACTAGCGAAGGCAGGAGATCGTGTACAAGTGACAGGAAAGAGCCTTACAGGAACAGTCAAATATGTTGGCTCGACCATGTTTGCATCGGGAAAATGGATTGGAGTAGAACTGGATGAAGCCAAGGGCAAAAATGATGGCTCAGGTATTATATCATATCTAATATAAAACTAATACCATTTACAAATTGAGATATGGTGTCCGTTGAAATTAAACCACTTCCTAAAAGCAATGCCAGGCGTTTTATAGGCTACTGACGAGTGAAGCCTTAATATTCTGTTATGCACCAGTCAGTAGTTTGCCCCAGGGAGGGGGAGGGTATCGGGCTTACCTATGGGATTTGACATTTTGCTAGAAATTTCTGTCAATTTCCCCAATATGGGGCGACCTAACAAAGTCAAAGTACGTCAAACTCCCGTCGGCCGTCCCTGTGCCCCCTGCCCAGACTGCATTTTCTGCACCGCACACGGACGATCTTCCGCACACATTTTTTAGGCTTTCTATATATTTACTATTAAATTTTCGAAATCTCCGGCACTTCCAAACTTTCCAGTCTGGCCCCCTGGCCCAGGCAATGAACAACAGGCAGTATAAAACTAGAAGTTACTATCGCAAGGAAAGTGCTGCCTCATCCCCAAGGGATCAAAGGCAGCATGCACATTTTGCTGAATCCTTGGCTGTTTATATGATCCAGCTTTGCCAGGACGAGATATGAGGTGGGACGATTTCGATGTATTGAAATAAGTCATAGGACCTCTACAACTGACAACATTTGAGTTCTGTTAGTTTAAGTGAACAAGCATTTGAACTTTCATTTAACCTTGTGATTAAAATACATCAAAATCATCCCACTTTCCATCATGTAAACAGCCCCTAAGATGCCTGTTCAGAATGTAGGAAAAGTTTACACAATGTCAAAGGTCAGCTAAATATTCTAATTCTACTTTCTTGGCATGGGTGATTTTATATGAATACCTTCAATTCTTATAACTTAATTCTTGCTATAACTTAATAATGCTGTGGTGAAGCTACCATTATAGCAACAGGTCATGCTATGCAAGTACTGTAGTTAATGATTTGCATTGTAGGCAGTTTATTAGCATAGCATGACCAGTTGCCATGGCTAGCTTGCCACTGAATACTGTGCAATATCATATATATTTAAACAATAATAATACTTGAATGAATTATTGGACATGTAGAATTTAATAACAATTTCATATGGCACCTTGAAGGCTATGTTCACAGAACAACTGAACAATCTGCTGATGGGGAGACAAAATCTATTTGTTGACATTTTTGTTTAATATGTCTGCTTCAGATGACACCATTCATTTGTAATGACTAAGATTGTACTCAGTCATAACTGCAAAACATATAATAAGAAAGAAATTGCGAGCATTATCGAAAAATATAGTATACCCTGAAATGCAGTTGACACAGGCACACAGCCAGGTGAATTATTCGTGAATATATGAATGTAGGCCGGTAGGATTATTTCATATTATGCTAGCAAAGGACATATCTCAGAGACACTGGGTTAACTGCATGGGTTGCTAACTTGCTATAGGAATATCTTTAAATTATAAAGCATACACTGATACACAACATTCCGTGTTTGTTTTTAAATTGTGCTGAAAGCACATTGCTATGTCTATTAACATATAGAATGAACACTATAAACTTATTGCCTTGGCACATCGCCACACAATTGACACAAACAAGTACATTTTGACTCCTTGTATATAAAATATAAAGACGATCTGCTGATAAATTGGCGAAATCATATTGATATTGTTTCAAATACCTCATATCGAACACTTTTAACAGCAGATCTAAATATAAATGCCTTCATGTAATATCACCAGAAAGAAATAAAGCTATCCTTACCTGAATTATTCAAAATATTGTCGATTTGTGAAAATCCAACATATGTGTAAAATGTATCATGCGAGCGCAATACAAAATAAATTTTGACCGCCCCCCTCGTTTAAAAAAAACTTCCTGAAGCCTTAATTATTTCCCCGGAATTGAAACTTCTTTACATACATTAACATACACACAGACAGACACTGAAGACACAAATCGAAATCTCGATCGTAGAGCTGCTCCCATCGGTTAATTTTCGTAATCGATTAATCGTTGTCAACAATCGATTAATATCGATTAATCGTATTGATAATTAATTTAAATATGAAAAGCCCATGGTGGTTGACAGGTTTCTAAATTGTAATATTTAATATTTATTAATATTCTACTCGATCGACTGTACATAACTCGGCCAAAGAGACTGGACACAAGTAAACACAGGCACGCAATACTTCATGTCAAGAATAGTGTGCTGCCTTCGGCAGCAATTAGTAATATATTTTAATTATAAATTAACTATTTATTAACAATTTTAACCTGGTTTTGATATATATAAAGCAACATTTATTAAGTAGAAGAAAACGCTCTTTATTATTTTTCTTGTTCTTTTAATATTAATATAAAAACAAACTAATATATTTAACTCACCTTTTTAAAACATATTTCTACTAAAAAGTGAAAAAGTGTGTAGAAAAATTCTCCAGATCGGAAAAATCATGAAGAAATGAAAAAAATATGGTATTTCCCGTCAAAACTGCCACTGACCACACATTTTTCAGGCGGGCAAACCCAGGGGCATTTGACATTTTCAATTTTTTGTGTCCATAGTCCTCACTATGAAGCAGCACTTTGTGGTCAATCATAGTCAAACCCCCCCCCCCCCTGAGTTA